GAAAGATAAGATTTAAAGTCATAACTTGCTGGGTGATAAGCTGCGGAAGCTTATGAAATTTTGCTCTTTACACTTCTTCGGAATGATTTCACTATTTTCATTCTTCGTAACTGTACATCTACGTGTTGCCAGAAGACGTAAGCAAAGCAATGCTGGTCGACCAACAGGCGAACATATAATCGTCTCATCCCACTTGATCTTTTCATCCACGTTAGAAATGAATGGGCAGCACGCATACCACGGACAGCAGAAGTAAGAGATAGGACTGATATGTGATAGGATAAGACTGATATGCATTCAGTCATCTTCAACGGTCCTTAATGAAATCGAATGCATTGCGTATCCCCTAGGGGTTAATCAACGCCAAGAGCTCTTTACCCTTTTATTTCACTCACTAGTTTCTCTTTTAAACCACTGAAGGGGTAGAAGACGAATGTATTTAGGTTATGAAGAATGATGATTTAATCATTGAGTCATCTGATTTAGTCATATTGGGAGAGGGGAGGGGTGGATTATTGTACCAGCATGCCTCGAATCTTTTTATACAACTGAAAGCATGTCTTACTGGCAGAAAAAGTGCCCAGTTTCCATGGTTTTTGGGAAGAGACCTTGAAGATAAGTTGAGGAAGTTGCGTCATAGAGGAGTCCCATCATCACTTTCAAGGCGTATACCGACGCAGCATGGAGGCACAACAGGTGAGTGATACGTAAAGGGAATCGAACGGTGTACAGTTGAGGGATGATGAATGCTTCGAAAATTTACGAGCAATCGCAGGAATGCTGGCGTTCAACACTGTTCATGTTTGATGTAGATACTTGCCGAAGTCTGGCATGAGAAGAATTAAGGTATTTTGGATTGGTAAGTGTCTGTACTATGAGTATTCCACCACGATACAAATGATGCATAGACCACTGCAGAGCGATATGCCCAGACTAAGGGTATGATGGCTAGAAGGAGATTTTATCAATGGCTATGGAAAGCCAAGAAAGTAGGCGGATAATATAGCTTGAAAATAGGATACCACAAGAGGATTCCAACTTGTCCAGTGCTCCTGCAATTTTGAATACGGGTGATAATCGGACCAGTAAGAAAACGGACTTGTTCGAGATGAAAAAACCTTACTGTCCACAGGCATAAGTCATATAGCAGCCATAAATATCGAATTTACAACCATCAGTCACCTGCTCGCTCGTCGATCACTGGACGATTCAAGTGGTGCCAGTAAAGTCAGCACTTGCCCTGTGAGGAAGACTCACCATTGGGTCGGTGACCTCCCGGTTGTGTATTTCTCGCCACAATCTGCTGCTGGTAGCTCTTGTCCGCCGGTTGTAGTTACGACGAACCACGTGTGTGGACCATTAGATTTATGGCATGTTTGTTCTTTGACCGTTGACGCAGGTTGGAACATTAGATACTCTCCTCTCTCTCTCTCTCAATTGAGTGGTACAGGATACTTCAAGAATCGATTATAATGAGGATGAGGCTAAGTGATTTTGCATCCTGTTTATTTAATGGGAAGATTTCCAGTGCCAGGGAGAAAGTTAGGAAAGAAAAGCCGCGAAATCAGAAAGGGGAATATTGAGCCGACCGTTTCTTGTCTTCTTCGTTGTATCTCCGACGCCCTTGCCAGCTCTCAAAACCGGTCGTTGCTTTCTGCTCAATTCAGGATTTAAGCTGTTCACCATGTTGATTCTTTGATTCAGACACTCATAGTTGGAGTGTCTGGAAACATTCTTTCCAGTGGCAGCGAATGGTGCATCGTAAACGAAGCCAGTTTTCATGAATATTGCTTTTATGATGTTCGACTGAAGATCGACCGAAGACCACAAGAGTTGTCGAAATAGGTCAGCATTCGCTCAGCTAGGCTAGTAACTGATGTTGTAAGAACTACATCATCGGCAAAGCAAAGATTTTGTAACGGCCAACCATCGATTTTCATTCCCATGTTATTCCATTACAACATTCCAATTTCTACACGACGTTCAAGATGACGGTTGTAAATCATTTTGGTGAGACGGCATCACCTCAACAAACAACCCTTTACGTCACTATTAACCGCATTATGAAACAGTAATAATTTGGTTGTAACGCTGTTGTATAGCTCACAAAGGATATTTATATACTGAGTAGCAATGGCGTAGTTATCCAGAGGCTCCATGCCTTGAATTCAGCTCAATTCAACCGAGTGATGTCCTCTCCTAAGTCGATGAAACCTGGACAAAGAAGTCTTTTGTACTCTTGCGATACTTTGCTATCTAATGAAACAATTTCGGCTACCAACAAAAATAATAGACTATTCCAATAGAGAACCCTAAGAAACCGTTTTTCATGTCCGTATCACCGAACTCCATCAAGAGCAGGTATCAGTTTTCTAGATTCATAACTCAAACTTCGGCCAGACTCCAGTGTGTTAACGGACCAACTTCCTCCATTCACGAGCGGTATACATGAATGGTCACAAATTCTGGATTAAAGCTTCAACGAAAATGATTCCTTTTTTTGTCCGGAAAAGTAAATTCGAATAGCCGATCTTCTGGCTTTCAGCGAGAAAGCGGCTACGATTTTTGGACATCCCCTTATCCTTCAATTTTTTGTTAATTCATTAGAAAACCATAATTTTTTTTACTATAATTCCGACATCCCATTTGTTTATCGGCACAGACTCCCGCACAAGAATGACACATCAGAGTGCACTTGGCAAAAGTAAACAAAGGAATACCAGAAAACCGGCACATATGTCAGAGAGACAAAACGAGACGTTCATCAGTGAGCAGAGAGAGTACTAACCGTTTGTTGAAAGTGCCGTTAGGGGAGGTGGACGGCGAGGGCAGCACGGCGTCGACCATTCTTCTCTATAGCATTCGGTCCTGAAAAATCGCACAGCTACAGCACGGGGGCTACGTGAACGCCCGTTGCCATGAAGAAAATTCGATGAAATGAAAAGCAGTACCGATTATTTGCAATCGAAACACTTCGCTAACTCTAATTAGACGATGGTCAGTTTGAGATAAGCAAAATAAAAGTGGACAAGCTATAAACGCGTAGGCGGAAAGTCCTCAAGAACTATACTCGTTTTCAACACTAACACCTTTTTAGAAAAACTCAGTAACACACGAGCTTACGAAGAAGAAAGCAATGTACAGAAATGTTCTTGAAAAAAAAATTTCAGGACCAAAGCACAACAAACTATCCAGTATATTTCAATGTCCAAAATGTTTTGAAAGGTTCTTCGATGGGAAATTGAAAACATTCCGCAAAAGCGATGAGTGTGTGGAGAAGCGGTTTCGTTTCTAATACGATTGAAAATTAGGCATCATGGCTTCTCTGTTGGGGTTCTGGAGGTGTGACTGACTAGCCTTTATTAACTTGACCTTTGCAGACTCTCAAGAAGGCTAAATCCGCCGAAACGCCACCTGTTGTGAATAAAGAGTACATCATAACAACCTCGTGTGTGCTTATCAAGAAAACAGCAAGTTATTTCGCAGAGAATCTGAAAATCTGAAGAAAAACAAATCTAGCAAATGGCAACACGGTTAGTGGTGAGTCTCCAAACATGGAGTACTCCAAGCGTGAACACCGTACGACAATGGCATGGCGGCCGCAGTGCGTCCTCCCCACCCTATCCCTTTGGTCCAGTTGGTCTTCGTAATCGCTGTAAAGTTCTCACCTACATTTAAGGAATAGAAAGAGTTCAGAAATTATCAGACTTCTTTATTAGAAAGCTCATTGCAGAAGAAAAGCTCTTATGCGGAAGAATGTCAAGCTGAATTAAACGACCTCCGGAAAATGAGGCGACACACGCAGAATGAGAAAATTAGATGTCGACCTCGGTCGGACAAAAACATTTGCAAAAAAAGAAACACGACAAGGTGGAGGTCGGAAACGCAGCTTTAACGGCATAATCCCAGATGTTACTACTATCATTTGCATGCATAATTAGATGAAGAAGAATGACCACACATGTGAAGACGATAGAATGAAATAGTGTCAATGAAAGGATTCATCCTCTATTTCGAAGCACACAGACAATATTGCTCACCATGTTAATTCGTTTCCAGTTAGACCATCTGCTCTACACCTCTCAGTTTTTTTTTCTAAAGGCACTCCTAAGAGCGCTAAAAGACATCGAATTTCCGATGTAGACATCTCGTAAAAACGAGGAGACGGACTACACCGGCTGGTAAACATGCTAAGGTGACAAGCCTGACTTGATTGTGGATTCCGTGATGCCATGGGAACGACGACGGCACAATAAAGAGCCGAAGGTTAGATGTCTACGAATACGGCAAGAGCAGAAACAAGAAATGATTGTTCTGATACGAAACCTAGGTTATAACACATGCTGGAAAAGTGACCCCGTGCCTTATGAACTCAAGTGCTGGAAATTTAACGGCTCACCTCTGCCGATGGAGACGATAATCGCACTTGTTTTCTTCTAACCACAACATAAGCGCACACTCTCTCAATACTTCTGACTTCTTTACGTCGACACTAGGTCTCCTACCCGTCGCCGTTTTCTCGCCTCCGTCCACTCTTTCCATTTATGCGTACCACACACCAATCGTTTGCTCACTTTGATCAAGCAGCTTAAACGATCTAATAATGATTCGGGGTACTACTCCGTTTCTGCTAGAGTGGAAAAAAAGCGGTGAAATATCTCGCAAGAATCACTAGATAGAGGTACAGATGTGATTTTGGAGCAAGAACCACTAAACATGAGTATCTCCGCAGCAAAGGACTGAAAACACCCATGTTTGAGAGAAATAAAAACGCACTTCCAATACCTTCTTTGAAGAGCCACAAAATTTTCCATCTGACTAACTGATACGACAATCATGTGATAAGTGTTATTGCTTTTCACTAGAGGAATGTGACCGGCTGAAACTCTTTAGAGTAGTTACATTGTGAATAGAGAAGAACCATATTTGAAGAGAACAGCAAATGACGACAATAAACAGCAGCAGGTCGTAGAATGAAAGCGGATTCTCGCAGGTACCGGATGCAATACGGGAGAACGGATAATGCCTTGACTACGGCGAAGATTAGCGGTAAGAGAACGAGTAGTGCTGCATGTGAATGGGACCTAATGATGAATGTCATATTGAGAGTGTTCCATTCCGGTCCAAGTTTGTTTCAATGCGCTTTCTTTCATGGCGAATCAAGCAACAGCCGTCCATCCGACATCGTCCACGCTGCATCGGTGGCGAACAAGTCGTCGAAATGTCCACGACAGGGGCGAGCAAAACCTCGGAAGGAATGTCGTTTCGCATCCCTACTGAAATTTCATCCGAAAAAGCGGCACTAATCATCGTTCAATGAGAACGCGCACATCTCCTACACTAACAGTGTCTAATAGATGGTCACATAAGCCAACAACTGCTTTCCTGGCTATACCTTTTGCGACGTTCTAAGAAAAACTGAAAACGTTAATCCCACTATTTTTGGCCTAAAAGCGTTCAAAGGACGAAAACTTCTGCATTTTATCGCGAACATCACTGGCTTACGTGTTATAAAGTTCGCTCAGAATGGCCGGAGTTCTTCAAGGGGTTCCCGAGCCGACTTCACATGAACAACTTGCCGTCAACGACGCATGCATATGTAAAGTGTATAAAGAACGAGCTACTGAAAGCACAGAATATGGAGAGGCCGACAGAGCATGAATAAGCCATGGACGGGAAGAGGAGAGAAGGCGTGACGACGACGCGGATGCCTGGCGATGAAGTTCTGGTCTACGCCTCGATCCAGAAGGCGAGCAATCACCACCACACGGCACACAGACGACGACGTCTTGACGCCATCGTATCAGGTGAAACTCCCTGCCTCGTGGAACACGGTTCCGCGAAGAATGCACTGGAATGACAAATCACATCTGCATGGATGAAATGTCCAGGATTTTTTGTTTGATCATTGTAGGAGATCACTGAATGAAAACATGCATTAGACTGAAGGAAGCCGATGATAAACACTGATACAGAAAAGAAACATCCAGAACAGTGTTTCCACAGATTCCTCACTACTTGACCAAGACGACCCTTTTTCGGTAAGTTCTTACGAACGCACAACCACAAGAAGACGAAAACCGTTCCAATGGCCAATGGAACTCAATAAGCCCACTGAGAGTTCACTCAGTAACTCTAGAATCCGAGAGAATTTCTTTTACCAATATTTCTTAACCGAAGTAGTACTTTGAGATATAGATGAGTAACTAGACGTGTAAAAACATTCCCTACCTCATCATGTCGTAGTAAACAGTTGTGGGCGAACCAGAAACGCTGTTAAACTCAAGACCTTTACACCACTTATGAGACAATATGGCTAGGACTTTTGGAAGCATCGGACTGACACTGAAATTTTCTGCGCAGTCGTTGGCGAAAAGAGTGCGGTTGAATAGGATGAATAGGACTTGAGAAAACGAAAGATTACAGAAAAACCACTGAGAATGTTACGTAATAAAGATAGCATTGCGGCTATTTCTTCACGGCATTCCAGTCTGCGAATGGAATTACACGAGAAAGCTTTTATCGTCTTCAGTTTGTCAGAACACAAGTCGGTTGCCTGCCAGACCTCGTCACATTGGCGTCATCAACACGAGACGTTGAGGGGTGGAGTCAACGTGTGGTGGCAGACTGGTGTTGACGAGCTCTGGCGAGGCTTACCATGATGAGATGCAGTACAAGTGGGTGGCTTGTGGGTGGTCTGGGTGTGTGTTTGGCTGGGATCCCAATGCCGACATTCAGCACGAAATCAATACGTCTCTACTACGACGGAATACGTTGTGATGCGATGTGGTTGGTGTCGGCAGTGGCAAAAGGTGGTACGGAAATTGCGTCGCAATGGCTGCAGCCCTTCACAATGGTGTGGGTTAGGAAACCAGTCCACAATGCAGCAGCACTCGAAAATACGGGAACACGGTGGACTGCGTCAATACAGGTTCCATTACGAATAAATGCCCTCGGCCGCTGAAATCTACTATGACTTGCGTGCATGATATTTCTAACAACTTAAAAGTTTCCTTACTCCTCTTCCTCAAAAGGTGCTATGGGAAAAAGTTCGTGTGAACTCGTCGACAATGGTTATTATATAGGTGCTATAAGGTGCTTTTCGTCTCCTTTCACGTAGTTCCTTAGTTGCTGTTATGCTACTACTTTCCTTTGCTTTAATGTGTGATTGCTACTGACTGTATATCGTAAAGCTTTGGGTGAATTTTTCACTAACTAGACTGAAATCAATTACGGGTTTCAGAACTCCAGCTCAAAACGAGATATAGATCAAATAGTACGGCTGAAACTAGATCATCTTGGTAGTGTAAGTCATCTGAGAAAAGTACATCAGTAGACGTGTGAAAAGAGAACGTGGAATGACAGGAATATAAGTGGCGACATTGGCCAGCCGAGCAGTACGTGTTGGTGCTGCAGCTGGGAACGGATGTTTCGTCTGGCGAGAGGCCAAAGTGGACGGCAAGGCCGCTTGGCAACGCCCACATCAGCACTTCAACACTTCCCTTATGACGGAGATCGCTCCAAGTAGGCATGAATATCTCGTAGTTCGAGTTATCCCTAAAGCTCATTGACACGGGAGACTTCTTAAATCAATAGAGCTTCACTAGGCTCTTCATCATTTTATTTAATTGCCATTATAAAATGGTACTCTACTTCCATCACATATTTTCACTGTATCGTCCACCGAAGGTTAGCCGTCCACTTACGGTATTAGAACTGAACCGATCGTTGAAAATATCTAATCAGTTGCCGTTGAGCGTCAGAGAGCAAAGTGTTATCATCTAGTATTTGGCTGCTAGAAAAGTCCATGTATTATTCATGCATTAGTCTCTAAGTCGGATTCCAACTAATCTGTGCGAAGTGGTAACCGGCATTATATTTGCCGTTGATAGTGAGAGTATCATAGCAAGAATTGGAATACGAAATGATGTACACTGAATCGAATGGAGGACTATTAAGCCCAAGAGACCTGTTCAATAGCCTCATAAGAGGAAGCATGAGCGATGTCTGATTTCATTTTCGGTCAACTAGTCAGCGCTCATAAAAATCCTCTGCAAATAGCATCAGTGTAAAAAGTAGAATTTTAGCTAAATGTATAAAACTACTGGAGGTATTATTTCTATTGCGGTAAAGAACGCAGGAAATATCAAAGATCATTCAACCATTCACCGCTTGTTACCAGACTACTTTGGAAATGAGATGCTTCAGAGACTCAGACAGATAAAAAAATATTAATGAAAAGCTATAACTAACGGAATCGTTCATATTCACGATTTTGAAGAAACCCGATAGAAACTGAATGGAAACGTAACACCGAAAAAGATTTACGAAGTTGATTCTCTTGTTAGATATCGGATTTCTTTACACTCCAATCGTGAAGGATATAAGAGTTTCTTAACAAACCGTAGGAGCTAAGTCGCAGTGATAGACGATCGGGTTGGCTGTGCTTGAAGTCCGATCAAAACTCGTATCAAACCGACAACCGACGGCGGGTAGTGAAGTGATACGCTCGAGAATGGCCTTTGAAACTGGGTCAAGCGCCAAAGAGTGGCGATAACAGGTGTTTGGACGAAGACGATCCAGATTCGAAGAAGTAGATCCGAGCGATGGCGTGAGATGGACAAGTGGCCAGACTAGTCAAAGATGGCAACTATAGGCCAGAACTTATTTACAATTGAATTGGTTGCTGTGAAGCCCTCGAAAAAACTGATGGAGCCAAAGTTTCAGTCGAGATGAAGGGATACATGTTCGGCAAATTAGTGAAAGCATTACAAGAATGAATGTCAAATATAGAAGTGGTTTGTGTGAGTAGTGAAAAAATCAGAGCAAGAAACTGGAAAGGCAATGGTAAATTTCAGAAGGTGGGGAGTACTGAAAACTTATAAACTTTCCCAAAAATGTAGGAGGACGCGTAGAAGAAACACAGAGGCCACTCGTAGTGATCTGCCATGTGTTTGAATTGTGGGATTGATAGAAAAGTTTGAGAAGCCCAGTCAGTGTCTGCATCACTTACTATTTTCTTCCTTACTTCTCCTTTCATCTATATAAAGAAAATGGATAGAGCTCTCGGCGTTGATCAATCCTTGAGGGATGCGCCATGCATTCAACTCCATTAAGTATCGCTGGAGGTGATTGAATGCATATCTGGCCTTTACAATGACTCGCGGTGGCCTATCGATGTATCGACAGTGCTGCTATCCTCCCAGACAAGTCTGGTACCAATTTGCTGACCCTGGAGGGATGGAGGACTTGGTGGGCTATGGGCGCAAGAATCGATTTCACGTGTGTGTCGTAGTGGCGCCTCCAACCACTGCGCCACACGTGCCCTTTCATCTGTATAGTTCAGAAAAGAGATGGTTATTTAAAGATGCGTGGCGTCAACGCGACGATCACTGTGACTGTGAATCATCGAAATAAACCAAAATGAGAACGAGTGGATACAGTGGTATACGGAGACTTCTTGGTAAAATATGAACGTTTGGTGCGGAATGAAAGCAAAATGTTGGCAAACACGAGTTCTTGGAGAGGCTACTACGAGTGCTATTATTGCATCGAATCAATCGAGGACAACATAGTGACCTTATGTGGCATAAAAAAATGGGAACGAGTAGGAGGGACAAGAGGAAGAGGAGGAGAGAAATAAATGGCCACAAATTGCAGTATTATAATGGATGTTTTTTGGCGTTTCCGATAACAAGCTGGGTGTTAGCAGTAAAACCGGCAACGTGACGGACTACGGGACAGAGCGCCACCCGCCGTCCGCCCTCCGCCGACCGCCCGGAGGGATGCGGGCCGATAACGCACATGGGGCTCATCCCCAACCGACTATGGAAGCACTATGCTCGACGGAATTGATTTTTCCGCATCTCTGTGCGCTCAGTACTCGGAACACTCTTATGAGAGCATTTAGCTGCCAGAGTCGACGTCAACATTATAAAGAGTCGGCGGTCAGGTGCTGGACCGGCCTACCCACCTTGCAGACCGACGATAATATGGTATACTCGAAAATGGTGATAAATAGTGAATAGTGATAAAAAAAAGTAAATATGAAAGTGTTATTTAAGTAAAATCACACAAATCATTTTCATAACTCTGGGCAGTAAATTGATATTGAGCTCAACTTTGTGGCGGGTTGCATGCATGAGTCGTAGATGAATTGGTGTGGCAATGGTGTTTAACGCCAGAGTACCAAACGATAGTGGTCAAAGTACGACAGAGTAAGAGCAGAATTTTTGCAAACACAACAGTTCACATCATAAACTTTAAAGTGACTAGAAGTTCTATTGCATACCTAGGGAACTATAGA